GGAGGATGTAACTATTGGCCAGCGAGGTGGTGCTGTGGTTGCCTAAGAGCCATGCTTGTGAGAAGCTGTGGCACTGACTCGAACTCGTGTGAAGCCAAGGCGATGTATGCAGTGTGCAACGAAGGTTAGCCACTCAGCCCCCCTTTGGTCGAATTTAAGGCCTCGCATGAGAAACGCCGCGGCCGCAGGCAGCATTTCTGGGAAGCTGATGCCCATCGAGATCGTCGTGTCGGCTGAGCCAAAGCCAGGCTGAAATCTGATAGCATGCAGTGCCAAGGTGGAATCCCTATGAGGAGGCTTCGCCAGGCGATTTACCACCTCCGGCTTTCAAGGTGCAGCAGATACTCGAACACTCAGAAGTTCATTTAATTCCGCTCTCACAGGAGTTTGTTTGCGTGGAGCCTGGCCTCATCGGACGAACGGCGGATGATCAGTTCCTGGAAAAACATGATGCCTGGCAGGGCAACAGGTGCACTCGTAGTCTTTGGCATTGATTCAAGTCGCGAAGTCTGCCAACGACAGCGCAGTAATGGTGCAGCATGTCCAACCTGAGGAACTGCCCGCCAAAGCAGAAGCATGCTTGTCACAGAAGATCATCCCAATGTGACCNNAAGGCGGTTGAAAAAGGAGAGAGAGATACCAGCAGAAAAGAGCGCAGCGCTCAGCGGAGACGAGACTAATGAGACTCGAGGCCGTGAGCTGCGGGGCCAAGTTCATCGCCACGCCGGGCCTGAACTCTGAGGCGTTTTCGGTTTCGGGGTCTCCTCGCCGGGCCTCCGCCTGTGCATCCGCTTTGACCTCTTGGCAGGTGCTGCGCTGGTGCCTTCAAAGGAATATCCCGGTGGGCGGCGCCCGTCCGTGCTGAGCGGGATGCTGTTCGACCAACTGCACAGGTGATCCCAGGTGTGGCAACACCCTCCGAAGTGCAGGAGGCCAGCAGGCCGCCACACGGGGACACGTCCATGGCTGTAGCGAGATGTGTTTCAGTGTCTGTGGCGGAGGATGGGGCTGACCCTTCTGAAGTTCTTCCCCGCCGAGGAAGCGCATAAATTTCGCAGAGTGTCATGCTAGCCTTGTAGGTCAGCCGTGTGTGTAAGGTGAATGGTGGCGTGGAAGGCTTGAAGGCGAGGCTTGGACTGGCTGTGTGTTCTCATTCTGTTTTGAAGTCCAGGCAATCTCTGCACCGTTTCCTCACATCAACTTCTACCCGTCTGGGGGGGTTACCGAGAAGAACCTCCAGGCATCTGAGACACGGCCAGAAACCCTGAGATGCTCCTACGCGAAGCTCGCAGGCTTACCTTTCGCTGAAGCAGGCCGATCAGTGGCTGTGTTTGCATTCAACCTTGCACCTGTCAGAATTAATTATGATGGACAGAGCAGAAATCAGTGGTTTCACTTCAGCACATACCAGTGGCAGCTGCCAGGTCATCGCTGTCGGCGGCAGCTGGATGGTACCTCAGGTAACTTGTATCGCACCCCCATCATCACCATGTCTTTGGCCTTCGATCCCTTCCATGCGAGGACGCAATTTCTGGTGGTGATCCAGAACTCCTGAAGACCTTGGCCATGAGCACCCTCCAGGCCCTGCGGGTCCTCCTCCCGAAGGGGCTCGCGCTACAGCGCCGCCCGGCACTGTCACAGGTGGCCCGAAGCGTTGGCCAAGCAAGCGATGGCA